TATTTCTCAACTGTGCTAGATAGAAAACAAAAATGAGTGAAGAATAAGAACAAGAACAAGACGAAGAGACTGTTGTGATTATTCCATCTAGGTTATAGAAAAACATTATAATTTAAATCTTTTTCTTATTAATAAATATATTTATTACACGTACATATGTACTCATAATCATCACATCGTGCTTATCCAAAGAAGTCGTTAACTTTACTGTTACATTTTTATATCTTTACAAATTGCAACGAGGATAAAATATTTTGTTACTCAATAATTTTAAAATCTCCTTTTTTCTTAATTTTCCTTTAAGGATTTACTGATGGAAGTAAATTTCCCATCAAGTCAGTGAGTGAACAAAAGTGTAATTGCACAAAAAGAAAAGAGTGAAGCAATAAAATAATAGAAAGGATTAATTTACTGAACATCACATAACAAACAAAGGAATAATTCAATTTTAAAGTCAGTAAAAGGTAAGCAAAGTGCTTTGATATAATCAAACTCTTAACATCTCTCTTGGCATCTGCGTTTATTGAGCAAACAAACGAGACAGCATGTCGTGTCGCGAATTTGTGTTGCTTCATCATTTTCCAGTTAATTTCCTCCCAACACATTAAACTCAAGTGAATAGTAGCTTGCATTCCACTAAGTTAAAGTTTTCATTAAATATTTATAAGTTTAACATTTTTTTTTGTTTATTTCTTGCTGTTGTCTTATCATAATTATGAAACCGTGAAAAAATTCCCACCATTCTGCTCGTCACTTCATATAAAATCTTTACAACATTTCATTCGATCGTTTATAAAACAGAATGAGACTTTTCATCATGTAATGAGACAGAAATCAAAGGCGAAGTTTATTACGCCTTAGTAGTAGTTTATTACTTAATAATTAATATAAAATTACTTATCTATCTTACTTGTTTATATGACACTTTCATTTCAATTTAATTATTTTCTTATGTCTTAATGTTCTTCATTCTGTTTTTCCTTATCGGTTATTAATTATTCATGACCTGGAAAATTGTGAATATTGAAAGTTGTTGTAATGTATTTGAGAGTAAATCTAAAAATAACGTCAAGGTAAGGCAAAAGCAAATGTGCTGAGTTGGAGTTTATGTTGTAATTTGGATTTAAATTGTGAGAAAACCTCATGGTTCAAGTTGGCCACACTTCAAAGAGAATTCTCGACTTTAATTATGATTGTGACACCTCATTGCTGAATCTAAAAGAAAAAAAATGTAATTCTTCATTGAACCCGCTGGGAATCATTTTTTTGTTTTGTTTTGCTTCAATTTTTCTTAATGAAAAATGAACTGGCTGTTAGATGAACATATGTAAGTGGCATATCAATTTTGGTATGAAGTGAAATGTCTTAATTTGGCTTCAAAAACTTCATTTCTCAACACTTAAAAGTTAAGACGATTCGAGCTTGAAAATCTGAGAAATCAATCAATTTTTGACGTGAGATTAGTGCGAAGAGATTTATGGAAAATTCATTATTAACACATGTACAAGTCTTTTGATTCAAAACACTCACAAATTTGCAGAAACGCATGTCCGAAGTAAACAAATTTCATTGTCTTCATCTCAAGTTTATGTAGAACGAAGTAGGAAAGTGATTTGGTTGTGTAAAAACAATAAATCGTAAATTACTTTGCCTTCGTTTTCGCTTGGAAAAGTTTTCCATTGTTTGATGTCACTTGTTGAAAATTGGGACATCGAAATTTGCCAAATAAAATGCAGGTTGAGTGTTTACAGTGTTTAAAGTCAAAAGTTATTTTAATGAGAATGACAGGAAGTTTAAAATGCGTTTTTAGACAGTCTTCCATCTTCATTGTTTTCGAATCATTTACTAGTTCGGCTAATAAATAAATCAACGGACTCATTAAACAGTTCTCGTTTTGTGTTATCTTCAACAAAAACCGTTTTAAAGCATCCATTTAGAACAGGTTTCTTTTTTAAAAGAAATCACTTGTCGTACATTTTATTTTATATTTTTTTCTCCTTCTTCTTTAATTTTGGTTTTGGCCCATTCGTTGCAGCCTGACCCAAACAATATCATTAATCTTCAAGAACCGGTTTCAAAACTTACAAACATCATCAAAAAATGAATCGAAAAAAATTGGTTAAGCATATTAAATGAAATTCTTCTCTTGATTGCATTCCTTTCTGATCTTTAGATCAGATTTTCTTTATTTCCCTTCACGTGAGAGGTGAAGAAACGAATTTATGATTATGAGTAGAATGTTAATGACAATAAAGTTCCACAACAGAAAGTTCTAAACCTAAACAAGAAACGAGTCTTGAAATGACTCAGATTGGAATGCAAAAAATGTTTTTTATGTTGTCATTGATATTTTTAAAGCATCCAAAGTAAGAGAGAGTTTTGGGCACAAACGGATTTAAAAAATAACGTGAAGAGAATTCTAATCAGTATCCAATTTTATTTAAAACTTTCACAAATGCAATGGAAGGAAATGATTCAGAAGATTGTCAAACCGCATTATTTAATAAATTTCACAATCGTAGTTTTCGGAAAATTGTTTTTTTTTTCTTCTCAATTTACATTTTATGAATGAAAATATAAAACATAATTCAAATATTTCATATTGCACAGCTTTATGAGAACCTTTAACGGAGTTTAATGGAAATTTCAAATCGTTTTAATGTTATGTAATTTTGTGATCGTTTCTAATTGTTTCTTTAACAAATGATTTATTTATGCAATTGAAAAGTGACTTGTTTGTTCAATCTTATTAATTTTCTGTTACTAATTTTATTTTTTTCTTATTTCAGAATCTGTCAAAAAGCCATGAAGCGGTTTTCGGCAGCCATAACGCTGTGGCTCGCCGCTGTAGCTGTAATTTCACAAATTAACGCAGAGGTAAGTCATGCTTGAATAATGACGACATCTTAAGGTCGACGATAGCCGATTAGCATTTTATATCTAAAAAATTCTCTCTTTGACGTAATTGACTTTCGAGGTTTCATAATAGATTGGCCGTCTAATTATGCCTTCAGAAAAGAAAGTTGTGGGTTGACAATGTCCATTGCTTACTCATGGGAAATTGTACCAATTATGAAGTCTATTAAAACGACCAGACCTCATTATGACACTTGAATTGAGTCATTTTTTCTGGCCCATTAATTAACAATTTAAAACGATAATTAACATTTAACATTTCAATATAATTCATGATTGTATTTCATCTTTTTTATTATTTCCAGGAACTCTTTTCCTGTCCTCATGGTAAGTTAAATTATTTTATTCTCTACCGTCTTGATGAATGGCAAAAGTGAATTACTTAAGATAAATCATAAGTGGTTCTCACACAAACACAAGAAAAGAATGCAAAAGTTGTCCTTCAACCATTTGCGCTACTTAAAAGTGAATGTCTCAGAATAAGGAAATATTCTGAAGTTAAAGCCAAGAAAAAATATATTAACAACTGATCATGTTGTTTAAATAAATAGTTCATGTTTCGTGACTGTTGTTGGTTAATCCACTCGACATGCATTCAAGGTTTTATTTGTTTACACTTAAAGGCGTAGAATTAGGTCGCGTAAGATATCGAGAGCTACAAGTTGTTGTTTTTTTTTTATTTCACCTGTCACCTAATGGTATCTGAATATCTACTATCGTTCGCGAAAGTAACAAATTTAAACAGCATGTCCAAAAAATAAAATTGACAAATTAGCATTTGGGTAGGTAGCCGCCGAGGTGTTACATTTTTTTTAAATCATTAAATTTAGCATGAAAACGAATCATATAAAGCGAAAACTTTAATGAATTGCGATGAAAGAAAGTGACTTTTATTGTCGTGAAAATGACAGAAATTCCATTTTCAAAAAGCGACATGAACTTAAAGTGTTCAGTGGAAAGAGAAAGACACAAAAACGAAAGAAGTGTCGTTTGTTGTCTTTTTCACTTGTCTGGCAAAGCCATAAACTAAACTCACAAGATGCATAAGCATGTGTGATGTGCGCCATTTAAGTCACAGTCGTTTGGTGAAATAATGGTTGATACTTAATTACATTTTCAATTGAATGTGAAAATTCAACATTTTTCTTTTCATTTCTTCTTACTTTTCACAAGCTTTTCATGAAAGTAAAAACGAGCTTTTGATGATGGTTGCTTGTACAATTCATGTAGATATTAGCTGGAGAGTTTTTGAATGATGAAGAAAAGAATTTCGCGTAGCTTATAACATCGAACGTCGTTTACCGTTAAAAAACTTTATACAGTTAACCAATATTTGGTAGCACACTTGAGTATTGAAACTCGTTTTTTTGTTGATGATTCAGCTTAAGCTGTAAAGACCAACACACCAGCAACAAATGCTTATCGAACAGCTAATAATAAATTGGAAAATTGTCGGTTGCTTCTGGCATTTAATTTATGGTCGGTTTGATTCTTTCCTGATTTAATTAATTTGGAGAAATGCATGCTTCACTAATGTTACGTAAATGTCACTACCGCCATTTATAAATGACTAGTCTTGAGTTTTATTAGCAGATTTTACCTCAACAATTTTAATTAATATGCAAAAAGCAACAAAGTGTTTAGCGAGCTCAATTTCCGTTTGACCAAATGAAGAATCTCAAGTTCCCAAAATCATCTACATGATTTCCATTTTCAGTAGGTTTTGATTTTTTATGTAGCAGCGTAAAAGCTCGTCGAAATCTTTCTGATAAATTTACTTAACGGTTCGAACTCAATTTCTAATGTGCGAAGAAATTAATCAAACATCTGATGGCAAAATATTTGAATGTGCATATGGGAAGTCGAAAAAATATTTAAATAACATTGAACCAACGCTAAATAGTCATGATATTTACCTCTGCTACCGATGCCATACTTTATATACAATAGAATAAACGCATTAAAGCAAAAACAATCAGTTTTGGATTTAAGTTACTCAATAGTTAGTCTTGTTCAAAAAAATTTCTTTACTATTCACATTGACTTCCATTCATCGCCACTGAAAAAAAAATAATAAAAATAATGAGAAGTTACAAAATTCCGCTGTTCATTAATAAACCAAAAAAAAACCTAAATTGAGGTTGCTGAAAAGATGCGCTGCGCTAGTAAAACTTGCAGAGAAGTCATATAAATCTGGTGAATCATCATCATGTGATGTTGGCAATAGAAACTGGAGAACTTTGATATTAAATCGATGTTAAGAGTCGCATCTCTATTGTAAGGTAAGCCAAAAGAAGAATTCACCAACACTATTCGAGTTACCTTCAAATAAACAAGACAACAAAGCCAACACAACAAACAAATCGAGACGTCGACGACCACGAGAAGTAACATGATTTCCGATATGCACGCCGACGTCGATTGTTGTTGGCAGTCAAACTTCTGCTTCTTATTCTTCATTCGAATGTTACTAGCTTTGGTAGTTTTGTGAATGTCGTTGGTAGAGATTTTTTTGTTTGTGACCCACTGTACCAATTTGTGTGTTAAAGAAATGCGAAGTTGATTCTTCTTTTTGACTCGCACGTTACTTTATTGTCTTCGTTGTCTTTGCTTCTTAACGTTGAAGCTTATGAGAGTTGAAAGTATTTTTAATCTTAAAGAATACACAAGATCTTCATCAAAATAAGAAAAATGATGATGCGATGTTCACATTCATTCAAACTATCACATTAATTAAATGAGTTCTTTAAGTTTAGTGAAACCGGTTTGTTTGTTCTCTCGAATTTCTTTTCGGCACAAACTCATTGAGAAACAAAGCATCGATTGACCGCTAAAGCTTGTTGTGCATAACAAGTGCGTATTTATTTTATTTAATGAAATTTTCTTTTCCGATTTAAATGCGAAACTTTATGGCTTGTTTTATGGCATTAAAGCTTTTGCCAAAAATAAGAAAACATAAAATGTTGGGAATGAAATTGAAAATCATGATTTCAGATTTCTCAGCATAGCAGCTCCGCTTTCCAACAGATGAAGTCAATAAAATCAATAATTCATGGCGTGTTGGTAGGGAAAAAAGAAAAATGGAAAGTTGTCGGTTCAATGCAACTTTTTTCGCTTATAAAATACTAACGAAAATCATTGAAAGAGATTCATCCATCTTTCAACATGATATAATCATGTTTCGGATACAAATTAATAAATGGAAATAAAAATCCACTTGTGCCATTCATCAAACGAAAGCAAATTTGTTGTTTTATGACGTCTGAATAGTTTTCATTTATGACATGTTGCGTAAGATCTTTCGCTAATTTCCTTTCATGAATTTCTCTTGTTACAGGTTGGGAATATCAAGGATTAAACTGCTACAAGTACTTCAATATTAAACTATCATGGGAGAAAGCAGCTGAACTTTGTCGGAGGTAAGTTCAAAAGACTCTCATCGCTGAGTTGATCTGATGATGTAACTTTCATCTTTTCATGATGCGATACTCATAAATGATGATCACACCTCGATCGTTTAGTTCGATGATGACACATTTGAACTTTTTATTTTACTTTTTTCTTCTTCTTTTTCATCATGTCTGCATTTGTAGTCGAAGTTTTTTTTTTCATTTAATGATCTCGCATGTGAGATTCACAGAAACAGAAAAAAAGTTTCAAAAGGTTGCGAGTTGTAGAGATGGTCTGAAAATTCATGCCATAAGCGAAATAGCGAAATGAAGAAGAGAATAACATTTTTTGCCAATAAACAAAAGCAATTTGCGTGATTGGAATTTATTTAAACAATGGTTAATACCTCTCGACGAAAACGTAAATAAATTTGGGATAAAGATTTTCTAAACGAGACGCGAGTTTCATCGTTAAACGTCCGTGACTAAAATTTACATCAATACTTGCGAGTGATTTACAATTGAATTTCCGTTAGCAATTTTAAAAGAAGAAATCACTTTTTTCGTTCTTTCAATGAGTCTTCTTCATTGGATTTTGCAATTGTTCATGTTAGCTTTCCTTATATCTGTTATATTATGCAGCCAACCAACAAATAATCGAAAGCAGAGAGAAGTTAAATATTGACTCGTCGGATCACCACTCAAAGTATATTTGGCATACATTTTCAAATCTCTGAACTAAAATTGAAGGTTTCTTTTCGACCAATTTCTGTCGTTTCGATTACAAACGAAGCAATGAAGAGAAAAGCCACTCACAGACTTATGTTAAATAATTTTTTACTGTTATCCAACTTGTACGGCAAGATTCTTTGAAAAAGAAATGTCGTAAATGAGTCGATGGCACTCTTTCTCTTTCTCTCTCTCCAAAATACTTGAAGAAACAAAAAAATAGATATGCTATGATGAAATAAGTCAATTTACTTCCCATCTCTATGCGATAATATATTGAAAGATGATGATGATGATCGCACTTCTTCATAGCATGTTCATCATGGGAATTTGTTGTACGGTTTTGTATTTAGCTCAATTACCCTTTCTACATATGCATCATGTAATAACATAAATATGTATCTATGCTTGATATTTGCAGTTATACTTAACTGCTGAATGAATAACTCAAGAAACGCATAACTAGCTTAAGCGCCAAGTTTAACTCATCTTTCAACATTTTTTGCCGCTTGCATATATGTTAATGCTAAGAGAAATAAAACAAGTTGCAATGTCATGGACAAATCAATTAAATTTAGTTCAAGATATATGCAAACAAGTTGAAGCTCTGATGTAACTTGAAATGAAGTTAAAAAAGAAAAAAACATCACGAGATGCCGTTTTATCATAATTTTATCGAATATCGATCGACATTAATATTATAATTGAAATGTTTTATTTATTTGAAAAAAAAATGTCATCGACCTCCAGATTTATGTGGACCATTGAACATTTAATTTATTCACTGTTGATAGGCTTAAAATATTCAAACGTATTAAAATTTCTTCTTTTCTTTTTCTTCACATTGACATTCAGATATGGTGCCGAGCTAGTTGCTGTCGATTCGTATGCTGAAAATAATGCAACGTTGGCCATTGCAGCAAACGCTGAAGCTAGTCGTAGAACGTCTGACAAATATTGGTTGGGTCTTGCATCGCTCGATGATTTGAGAACTAACACATTAGAGTCAGCATCGGGAGCCCTCGTGTCTCAATACTCAGGTTTTTGGGCTTTGAATCAGCCAGATCCGTTAGCTGGAGAATGTGTTGCAGTTTCCAGTCACAGTGCCATTCAATCTTGGGAGTTAGGAACTTGCGAAAGTTTATTGCCATTCATGTGCAAAGCACCAGCATGTCCGTCAAATTCAATTCATTGTTCCAATGGAAAATGTGTCAATCAAGCTTTTAAGTGTGACGGCTCCGATGATTGTGGCGACGGAAGTGATGAATTGGATTGCCCTCAATCATGTCACTTCTGGATGCAATCAGGTGGCGATGTTATTGAATCACCAAACTTCCCGCAAAAATACGGCGCATTATCGAAATGTAAATGGACATTGGAAGGTCCACAAGGCAGCAACATAATTTTGCAATTCCAAGAGTTTGACACAGAGAAGACTTTTGATACTGTTCAGATTCTTGTTGGTGGACGTACCGAAGAGAAATCAGTGTCTTTGGCAACAATTTCCGGTAAGCAACCTGATCTGACGAATCAACCATACGTGACAGCATCAAATTTCATGATTGTGAAGTTTACATCAGACGGAGGTGTAGAGAGAAAAGGTTTTCGCGCAACGTGGAAGACGGAACCACAAAACTGTGGTGGAACTTTACGTTCCACTGTGCAAGGTCAAATATTGACAAGTCCGGGATATCCCAAGAATTATCCTGGTGGACTTGAATGTCTCTACATAATCGAAGCACAAGCTGGAAAAATCATTTCATTAGAAATTCAAGATCTTGACGTTAATCATGAACGAGACTATTTGTTGATTCGCGATGGAAGTTCTCCAATGAGTAAACCTATTGCTAAGTTAACTGGTCAAGCCAAGGACAATGTAAAAGTTGTAATATCAACTGGCAATAAATTATATCTTTACTTCAAATCAAGTCTCGGAGATTCCAAAAAAGGTTTCAGCATTCGTTACACTCAAGGATGTAAAGCAACAATCAATGCTAGAAATGGAACTGTCAGTTCACCAGCCTTTGGCTTGGATGATTATCCAAATAACCAAGAATGCTTGTTTAAGATTCAAAATCCCGCTGGAGGTCCACTCTCACTTCGATTCGATGAGTTTAAAGTTCATCCAAGTGATTTTGTTCAAATTTATGATGGATCAACAACTAATGGATTGAGATTACATTCTGGTAATGGCTTCACTGGGTCACAAATACCAAAACTAACTTTGACAGCATCATCAGGAGAAATTCTTGTTAAATTCACTTCTGATTCTTTGCACAGTTCCAAAGGATTTTCAGCAACATTTTCAGCCGATTGTCCCGATCTTAAACCAGGTGCTGGTGCTTTAGCTTCCAACCGAGATACAGCTTTCGGCACAAATGTTCAATTCACTTGTCCCCTTGGACAGGAATTTGCTACTGGAAAAAACAAAATCTCGACTGTTTGTCAGAAAGGTGGAGTTTGGAGTTTAGATTACATTCCAAAATGTCAAGAAGTGTATTGTGGACCAGTACCACAGATTGACAATGGATTCTCTATTGGATCAACAAATGTAACATTCCGAGGTGTTGCTATGTACCAATGTTATGCTGGATTTGCTTTTCCAACTGGCAATGCAATTGAAAAGATTTCCTGCTTATCTGATGGCAGATGGGAACGAACGCCATCATGTTTAGCATCACAATGTCCATCATTAGCTGAAGTCGCACATGCAAATGTTACGTTATTGAACGGCGGTGGTCGAAGTTATGGAACAATTATTCGTTTTGAATGTGAACCGGGTTACGAACGTCATGGATTGCCAGTTTTGATTTGCATGTCAAATGGAACGTGGAGTAGTGAAGTCCCAACATGTACACGCAAACGTTGTTATACATTCCCAAGCGTTAAAAATGGATTCATTGTTGACACGACACGCCAATATTTCTATGGTGATGAGGCTCGAGTTCAGTGCTACAAGGGATTCAAGCTCAATGGTACAAACATTATTAAATGTGACACTGATCAGTCATTCCGTAATCCGCCTACATGCGATGATATTAATGAATGTAGCACATCGCAATGCGATTTAGCTTCAACTGAATGCATGAACACACCTGGATCGTTCTTCTGTCAATGTAAAAAAGGTTTTGCACCCACAAATGAATGTAGGCCCGTAACTGACTTGGGATTGTCGACTGGTGGTGTCCCCGATGACAGCATCATTGTCTCATCGACTGAAGATGGATATAACAAAAATGTAAGAATTCTTCACATTTTAAAACTTTAAAGAAATGATTCAAATTTTATATTTCACAGATGATTCGACTTAATTCTCTTGGATGGTGCGGAGCTTCACTTGAACCTGGTCAGAATTGGGTTTTAGTTGATTTAAAAGCACCAACTTTGATTCGTGGTTTCCGAACAATGCATGTACAACGGCTCGATGGGACTGTCGCTTTTTCATCTGCAATTCGTCTCCAATACACAGATGATTTGACAGATGTTTTCAAGAACTACGCTAATCCCGATGGCACTGCTGTTGAGTTTAGAATTCTTGAGCCAACATTATCCATTTTGAATCTTCCAATTCCAATTGAAGCCCGTTACATTCGATTCAAGATTCAAGATTTCTCAGTTGCACCATGTTTGAAACTTGAAGTCATGGGATGTACACGACTCGATTGTGTTGACACTAATGAATGTGCTAAAGAGAATGGCGGTTGTGACCAGAAATGCGTCAATTCACCTGGAAGTTTTTCATGTTCTTGTAATGCCGGTTATCAACTTTACGCAGAGAACGGAACTGCTGGATTTGCAATAGAAAAATCTGAAAGTGGGGCGAAAGACGGCGACACTTATCAACTCAATAAATCTTGTGTTCCTGTTCGTTGTCCCGATCTTGAAGCGCCTGAAAATGGTCAATTGCTGTCAAGTAAACTTCAACATAACTTTGGTGATCTGATTCGTTTCCAATGTAACTTTGGCTACATCATGTCCGGCAGTTCTTCACTTCTCTGCATGTCAAATGGAAAATGGAATTCAACAGTTCCCGAATGCATGTGTAAGTCGTTAATTTCATTTATTTTTTTACTTCTTTATTTATGTCACACCGTTATATTTCGTCAACACATAACAATGTCATTAACTTTTAGATGCCAAATGCGTTTCACTTCCCGATGACAAGAATGAGGGCCTTACGGTTTTGAGAACTGACCAGGAAAGCATTTTGGTGCCTTTTAAGGAAAACGTAACAATAACTTGTAACTCACCTGGAAGACGGTTACGAAATACTGCGTCATCTTCATTCAGACAATGTGTTTATGATCCCAAAATTGGACTTCCCGACTATTGGCTTTCTGGTCAGCAACCATCATGTCCTAGAACTGATTGTGGTTTACCGGTTCCAACACCTGGTGCCGAATATGGACAATACGCTGACACAAAATATCAAAGTTCTTTCTTCTTTGGATGTCAAAACACTTTCAAGTTAGCTGGTCAAACATCTCGTAATGACAACGTTGTCAGATGTCAAGAAGATGGTGTTTGGGATTTCGGAGATTTACGATGTGAAGGTCCAGTGTGTGAAGATCCTGGCAGACCTTATGATGGATTCCAAATTGCAAAGAGTTATGAACAAGGCTCGGAAGTTACATTTGGTTGTGCACGACCTGGTTATATTCTCATCAATCCAAGACCAATAACTTGTGTTCGACAACCAGAATGCAAAGTAATTCGACCGTTGGGATTAGCTTCAGGAAGAATCCCAGACAGTGCCATCAACGCTACATCTGAACGACCAAACTACGAAGCTAAAAACATTCGCTTGAATTCAGTGACTGGTTGGGGTGGCAAACAAGAAGCTTTCACTTATGTTAGTGTTGACATGGGCAAAGTTTATCGTGTCAAAGCAATTTTAGTTAAAGGTGTTGTGACAAATGACATTGTTGGACGACCAACAGAAATTCGTTTCTTCTACAAGCAATCGGAAAGTGAAAATTATGTGGTTTACTTCCCCAATTTTAATCTAACTATGCGTGATCCTGGAAATTATGGTGAACTTGCGATGATCACATTACCGAAATATGTTCAAGCGAGATTTGTCATTCTTGGAATTGTTTCTTACATGGATAATGCTTGTCTTAAATTTGAATTGATGGGTTGTGATGAACCAGAAAAGGAGCCAACACTTGGATATGATTATGGATATTCACCATGTGTTGACAATGAACCGCCAATCTTCCAGAACTGCCCACAACAACCAATCGTTGTGAAACGAGATGAAAATGGCGCAGTGATGGCTGTGAACTTTACCGAACCAACAGCAATCGACAATTCTGGTTCAATTGCACGTTTAGAAGTGAAACCTCAAAGTTTCAAGAGTCCATCTTACATTTTTCAAGATACTGTTGTGAAATACGTTGCATTCGATCATGACGGTAACGTTGCCATTTGTGAGATTAACATAACAGTGCCTGATGTAACGCCACCACTACTCAGTTGTCCCCAAAGTTATGTCATTGAATTAGTCGAGAAACAAAGCAATTACATGGTAAACTTTAATGAAACTAGAAAGCAGATCAAGACGTCCGATGAATCAGGAGAAGTTCGCTTGACATTCATTCCCGAACGTGCAAATATTGTGATTGGAACTTTTGAGAATGTTACCGTTATGGCGACAGACAAGTTTGGCAACAAAGCAATGTGTCATTTCCAAGTTTCTGTTCTTCCAACTCCATGTGTTGATTGGGAACTTCAACCACCGGCAAATGGACAAATTAATTGCTTGAAGAATAAGAAGATGGGCGTTGATTGTATTGCTACTTGCAAAACTGGCTTCCGTTTTACTGACGGCGAAGCAATAAAATCATTTGGATGTGAAGCGCAACGTCTGTGGAAACCAACATCGGTCGTGCCTGATTGCGTATCAGAAAACACTCAACAAGCTGATTATCATGTCACCACATCCATGACATATCGAGCTAACGGTGTTGTGGCTTCAACGTGTTTGAACGCATATCAAGATAAATTGGCACAACATTATGGAAATTTAAATCAACTACTTTCATCACGTTGTTCTGCGGTTAATGTCAATATGAATGTTTCATTTGTCAAGTCGATTCCTTCCCTCTTGGAAGAAAATGTCGTGAAAATTGATTTCGTTTTGGTCATCATTCCAGCTATTAAACAACCACAATTGTTTGAATTTTGTGGATCTTCCTTAAACTTGATCTTTGATTTGAGTGTTCCATCAGCAAGTGCTGTAATAGAGCCATTGTTGAATGTGTCAAGCATCGGCAATCAATGTCCACCACTTCGTGCTTTAAGAAGCACAATTTCCCGTGGATTCACATGTAGTGTTGGCGAAGTTCTTAATATGGATACAACTGACGTTCCACGTTGTTTGCACTGTCCAGCTGGTACATTTGCTGGTGAAAATCAAAATTCATGCACATATTGTCCACGTGGCTTCTATCAAAATCGTGATCGACAAGGACAATGCATTAAATGTCCAGCAGGAACTTACACAAAAGAAGAAGGTTCTAAAGCAATACAAGCTTGTATCCCTGTTTGTGGTTTCGGAACTTATTCGCCAACTGGTCTCGTACCTTGCTTGGAATGTCCACGCAATTCTTACACTGCTGAACCACCGACTGGCGGATTCAAAGATTGTCAAGCATGTCCATCGAACTTTTACACATTCCAACCATCAGCTGCAGGAAAGCACAAATGTCGATCGAAGTGTGTACCAGGAACTTATTCATCAACTGGCTTAGCGCCTTGTTCTCCATGTCCACAAAACTTCTATCAGAATCTTCCTGGTATGTCAACATGTAATGAATGCCCGACAAATATGAAAACTGACAACATTGGATCAACTGGTCGAGAAGAATGTAAAGCAGTGACTTGTGGTGATAACGCATGTCAACATGGTGGTCTTTGTGTTCCTATGGGACATGGCATTCAATGCTTCTGTCCAGCTGGTTTTACAGGTCGTCGATGTGAAACTGACATTGATGAATGTTCATCTCAACCATGCTTTAATGGTGGTGTTTGCAAAGATTTACCACAAGGATATAAATGTGAATGTGCTGCTGGTTACACTGGAATTAATTGTCAGGAAGAGAAATCAGATTGTCGTAATGACACATGCCCAGCTAGAGCCATGTGTAAAGACGAACCAGGAAGAGGAAACTTCACATGTCTATGTCGAAGTGGATATACTGGTGGAAATTGTGATGTGACCATTGATCCATGTACAGCCAATGGTAATCCATGTGGAAATGGTGCATCATGTACGGCATTGCAACAAGGTCGATTCAAATGCGATTGTGTACCAGGTTGGGAAGGTCAAACATGTCAAATAAACACCAACGATTGTGCTGAGAATCCTTGTCTCTTGGGTGCCAATTGTACTGATTTAGTGAATGATTTCGTCTGTTCATGTCCACCAGGCTTCACTGGAAAGCGATGTCAAGAGAAAATTGATTTATGTTTATCGGAACCATGCAAACATGGAACCTGTGTCGATCGCTTGTATGCACATGAATGTGTTTGTCATCCAGGATGGACTGGAAAATCTTGCGACATCAACATCAATGATTGTGCTATTGAACCATGCGAGAATGATGGAATTTGTATCGACTTAGTTGACGGTTATCAATGCAATTGTGATGCTGGATATACTGGAAAGAACTGTCAACATCACATTGATGATTGTGCAAGCAATCCATGTCAAAATGGTGCAACATGCCTTGATCAACTTGAAGGCTTCACTTGTAAATGTCGTCCAGGATTTGTTGGACTTCAATGTGAAGCTGAAATCGATGAATGTTTAAGTGATCCTTGCAATCCAACTGGAACTGAAAGATGTTTAGATTTGGATAATAAATTCTCTTGCGTGTGTCGAGACGGCTACACAGGTGAAATGTGTGAGACTGACATTGATGATTGTGAAACTGCACCATGCTTAAATGGTGGCATTTGTGGTGATCGTGTTGGATCTTACGAATGTTCATGCCCTGATGGATGGGCTGGAAAAAGATGCGAACAAGAAGTTGCAATGTGTTCAATTCAACAACCGTGTCAAAATGATGCTGCTTGTATTGATTTGTTCCAAGATTTCTTCTGTGTTTGTCCAAGTGGAACTGATGGAAAGCAATGTGAAACCGCACCAGAAAGATGCATTGGAAATCCTTGTATGCACAATGGAAAGTGTCGAGATTTTGGAAGTGGATTGAACTGTTCATGTTCTGATGACTACACCGGTGTTGGATGTCAATATGAATTTGATGCTTGTGAGAATAACGTTTGTCAAAATGGTGCATCATGCGTTGACAATGGCATTGGTTACACTTGCAAATGTCCACCTGGATTCACCGGCAAGAATTGTGAAGATGATATCGTTGACTGTAAAGATAATTCATGTCCACCTGGTGCAACATGCATCGATTTAACTGAGAAATTCTATTGTCAATGTCCATTTAATCTCACTGGCGATGATTGCAGAAAAAGTGAGATTTTTGATGATCAATCAAATTTAAAAGATTATTAATTAAAATAAAATTTATTTTCAGCAATTCAAGTTGATTATGATTTGTACTTCAGCGATTCGTCACGATCAACAGCAGCTCAAGTCGTTCCTTTCCACACAAGCGAAACTGATAGTTTGACAATTGCTTTGTGGGTACAATTTGCACAGAAAGATGATACTGGAATTTATTTCACACTTTACGAAGTTGGATCGCCACATGTTCCAACTAAACGTCGATTAATGTTACAAGCACATTCGAGTGGAATTCAAGTTTCACTCTTCCCTGACATCCAAGACGCTTTTCTATCATTTAAAGAGTACACTTTGATTAATGATGGTCAATGGCATCATGTCGCTGTTGTATGGAATGGAAAGAATGGACATTTGATGTTAATAACTGAAGGCTTAATTGCAAGCAAAGCAGAATATGGAATGGGAAAGACATTACCACAATAGTAAGTTTAAATATTTTATTATGAGTCATTTTGTGTGAATTTTATTCTGTCTTCTAGTGCATGGGCTGTGTTAGGAGTGCCACAACCAGAAGAAGATGATCAAGGTCTTGCTCTTACCTACACTGAAGCTGGTTTCCAAGGCCGCATTACAAAAGCACAAATATGGGGACGTGCCTTAGACACAACATCAGAAATTCAAAAGCAAGTTCGTGACTGTCGAAGTGAACCAGTTTTATACAATGGTTTGATTCTCAATTGGGCTGGTTATGAGATTACATCTGGTGGTGTTGAACGTTCTGTTCCATCATCATGTGGATTAAGAAAATGTCCATCAGGCTATTCAGGATCTCAATGCAAGCAACTTGAAGCTGATAAAGAAGCACCACGTGTTGAATATTGTCCAGGAGATTTGTGGATTATCGCAAGAAATGGTTCAGCAGTTGTCAATTGGGATGAACCTCATTTTAGTGACAATGTTGGTGTTACGAAGATCATTGAAAAGAATGGACATCGTTCGGGACAAACTCTGCTCTGGGGTGCTTACGAGATCAGTTACATTGCATCAGATGCTGCTGGAAATTCAGCTACATGCAACTTCAAAGTGTCTTTACTCGCAGAATTCTGTCCACCACTTGCTGACCCTCTTGGTGGTTCACAAAGTTGTAAAGATTGGGGAGCTGGTGGACAATTTAAAGTTTGTGAAATTTCTTGTCAAACAGGCATGAGATTTTCTGAACCTGTGCCAGAGTTTTATACTTGTGGTGCTGAAGGTTTTTGGAGACCCACAATGGATCCATCAAAGCCTTTAGTTTACCCATCATGTTCACGTAAGTAAAACGAATGAAATTTTCCCCATCTTTTATTAATTATTTTTAAAAATGATTCTTTAGCATCAAAACCAGCACAACGTGTCTTCAAGATTCAAATGTTGTTCCCATCTGATGTGCTTTGTAATGAAGCTGGACAAGGAGTATTGAGACAACGCGTTAAGAATGCTGTCAACTCATTAAACAGAGATTGGAACTTCTGCTCTTATTCAGCTGAAGGTTCAAGAGAATGCAAAGATATCAACATTAATGTAAAGTGTGATCATTATCGTGGTAATAGTCGCATTAAGAGACAAAATAATCGCGAATCAGAACTTGGTGGCGTTTATAATTTGGAAGCTGAAATTCCAGTTGAACGGTGAGTTATTTTATTATAAATTTTATTCATAGCAACACTTTAAACACTTTTTTGAAGCAATTCTCGTATACATGTTTGTTGCACATTTAGTAAATCTTTCTTATGTTGTGATTTTATGTTTAATGTTTTGTTCAATTTTGTGATGTTTAAAATGAATTTTTTTTATTTCCTCAAATGTTAATTTTGTAATTTCTAAGCAGCACAAAAGTTCTTTTTATTTATAAATATCAACAAATGATTATGAAACATATAATTTTATAACAGCAATGATGCATTGGAGCTGAGAAACCGTAATGGAAGACAACAGAATGGTGACACTTACACATTGGAAATTTCCTTCCCAGCAGTCAAGTACGTTCTTGATTAACAAACAAAACTGTACAGTTTTCTGCACAACGATTCTTCTTTCACAAATGCACTCATAAATCATGAACAATTTTTAATTATCATTCATATCTTAATCATGTGATCTTTTGGTGTCTGCTTTTCTCTTCACCTTTAAGGCTTAGTTTCTTTCTATTGCGTTAATCTTTCTTCTTCAAATATTAATTACACAAATACATTTTTAATTAAATACAATTGATAGCATGTTAAACAAAATTTTAATTGTTATTTGATGTTCTTTTAGCGATCCAATTATTCATTCATCAAGTGGTGAACGTTCTTCAGTGAAAGATCTTCTTCAAAAACTTATTCTGGAAGAAGATCAATTCGATGTTGAAGACATCCTTCCAAACACAGTTCCTGACCCAGCATCACTCTTTCTTTCATCTGAATATGCTTGTCCGATTGGTCAAGTTGCAGTGATTCCCGATTGTGTGCCATGTGCTGTTGGAACATTCTATGAAGTTTCCAATAAGACTTGTGTTCATTGTCCACGTGGAACTTATCAATCTGAAACGGGTCAAACACAATGTACAAAATGTCCAAATATTTCTGGACGACCTGGTGTGACTATTGGTTCAGGTGCACGTTCCGCTGGAGATTGTAAGGAAAGATGCCCTGCTGGAAAGTATCTCGACTCAGACACCGGCCTTTGTCGATCATGTGGTCATGGATTCTTCCAACCAAATGAAGGTTCCTTCAACTGTGAAATTTGTGGATTGGGACAGACAACGAGATCAACTGAAGCTAAATCGCGTGGTGAGTGTCGTGACGAATGTACATCAGGTATGCAACTTGGAGCTGATGGAAAATGCGAACCATGTCCAAAGGGAACTTATCGTGCTCAAGGCGTTCAACCAGCATGTCACGCATGTCCATTAGGACGAACAACATTGAAAGTTGGCTCAGCAGCTGTTGAAGAATGTTCACTTCCAGTTTGTACACCAGGAACGTATATTAATATGACTATCAATGTTTGTATTGAATGTCGTAAAGGTTCCTATCAACCAGAATCGCAGCAACCTTCTTGCATTCCATGCCCACCAAATCACAGCACTAAAAATACTGCTGCAACATCAAAAGCTGAATGTACAAACCCATGTGAAACTGCAACAGAAGGTCACCAACATTGTGATCCAAATGCTTATTGTATTCTTGTTCCTGAAACCTCAGACTTTAAATGTGAATGTAAACCAGGCTTTAATGGCACAGGCACAGAATGCACAGGTAAAGCTTAAAAAAACCTTTCAATCATTCAATCTATTTAATTATTTTAATGCATTTCATGTAGATATGTGTAATGGCTTCTGTGAAAACTCAGGACAATGTGTCAAAGACCTTAAAGGAAATCCATCATGTAGATGCAAAGGATCGTTTACCGGTCCAAAGTGTGCTGAACGTTCAGAGTTTGCATACATTGCTGGCGGTATTGCTGCCACAGTTATCTTTGTTATTTTCATCATCCTACTTATTTGGATGATTTGTGCACGTGCCAGTAAACGAAAAGATCCAAAGAAAATGCTTTCACCAGCTGTCGATCAGACGGGATCACAAGTGAACTTCTATTATGGAGCTCATACGCCTTATGCTGAGAGCATTGCACCGTCTCATCACAGCACTTATGCTCATTATTACGATGATGAAGAGGACGGTTGGGAGATGCCAAACTTCTATAATGAAGGTTACATGAAAGAAGGATTACACAGCAATGGAAAACTTAATTCTTTAGCAAGATCTAATGCTTCACTTTATGGAACAGCAGGGAATAAAGATGATCTTTATGATCGTCTAAAACGACATGCTTACACTGGCAAGAAAGGTAAATCTCATCTTTTTTATATTGAAAAACATTTTACATTGAACCTTTTTTAAAATATTACAGAGAAAAGTGACAGTGACAGCGAAGGACAGTAGAAAATGAATGTAAAAGACTCTATAGAGAGATGGAATCGTTAAATAAATATTTTTAAACTCAATTAAATCTGGTCATGTACACAACTTCTGCTTTTCTTTGCAAGACATAAACTGAAAGGAACATCATTTGCATAAAATTATATGAAGTTTAATTTACATGAAGTTGTCATGTAAACTTCAATTCATTAATTTTAGTTTTGTAAAGTTTTGACTATTGAAAGTAGCATAGTTGAACTAAGAGATTTGAAATGTTTCCAATTTAAATATTATAATTTGTAATCAACCGCAAAGTAATTAATTACCTGAATTTAAACTGTTGTCCCATTTCGTATAACATTAAAATGTGCGATATTTACATTATTAGCATCTACTCTCGATTAAGTTTTCAAGCATTTATCAGTAAAATTTAATTAGGAGATTTTCCATAATATCGCACACGAAAGCATAAGAAATTTATTTTTGTTCTTTTAGATAAGCAAATTTAATCTTTAATTAAATTTCAAAATGAAATGATTTCAAACATGTGAAGACAATCAATCGTTGGGATTGTTATTCACATAGTTTGATTTTTATTTGTCTTGAAAATGGAAAACATACTCATTAAATTTATTTATAAAATTCTTAAAAGTTGTTCGCTCATGAAAAAATATGTAATTACTTATGCTATAAAACATAAAACTTAAACAAAGGTTTCATTTCCAACGATCAATTGAAAATTTAGAACGAGCGAAATTTACCATAAAATATTTTATTAGATGAAAGGAAATAAGTAATAACAAAATTGTTATTGTAAAGAACTTGTGAAGATGAATGAAGGAAATAAATTTTAAAAACAATTAACAAAAATTCTTATTTATTGGTCATCTTTTCAATGCGTGATCGTCCTTTGCCATCGCGAGATAATTTGTAGTAATGATCAACACGTTGCAATGTTTGAACAAAATCTTCGTCGTGTGTAATAACGACAAGCATAAATTGACCAGTTTTCTCGCGTTCCTCGACGATGTTGACAAGTGCTGTGCAAAGTGCTTGAATGTTATTGACATCTAAGTTAGTTGTTGGTTCATCGAGTGCTAAAACACCGCAATTTGCACTGAAAGTATCAGCTAAAGCCATTCGAATGATGAGAGAAGCTAAAACTTTCTGACCAGCTGAACATCGACCTCTCATATCGATTTCTCCTCCACCGTTCTTGGCTTGAATGACTCGATAATGGTAAGTTCGCTTTTTGTCGCTTCCTTTTGAATCGTCTTCATCAGTTTTGATTTCAATGTAGTCGATATCATTACCTTTATAGATATTGTTCCACAAATCACGAATTCTCTGATTAATTTCCTTCATTTTATCCCCATGGAATTTCATCAACGATTTCTCCAAAGCTTTTCTGTATTTAAGCAAATCTTCTCGCATAGCTTTCAATGTTGATTGAATGTAACATTCTTTCAAATAATTAATTTTTGCATTTTTATATTTTGGTTCATTGCATTCTTTCTTTGCTTGAGCAATTCGATCGAGCGATTCTGAGATTCTTCCTTGAAGTGTTTGATATTCGCTTCTAATTTCATCGCGACTACTTTCCAACGTTCTTTTTTCTTTAATTAATTTATCCACATCCAAATCGCCGATTTCTTTCATCAATTTTTCATATTCATCTTGCAATGTTTCCAATTCTTTCTCACTCCGACGAAGTTCTATGTTGTCTTGTAAAATTCTTTTATTTTCGGATTGATTTGTTAATTCAGTTTCCAATCTTTTTATATCTGACGACTTTGATTTGATATCATCTTGAAGATCTTTCAATGCTTTTTTAATTTCAATTTTCTTCTCTTGCGCTTCTTTGTATTTCTGCTCCAAACGAGCATTTTCATAATTTTCAATTTCCTTATTCATTCTTTCAAGATCGGCTTGATTAATTTTTATTCTCTCTAATGCTTTTTGAAGGCGAGAAATATTTTCCTTCGCTGTTTTCTTTATATTTTCCTTTGCATTTATAATTTCACGAAGTTCCTTTTCCAATGGTTGCAACTTTTTCTCATCTAATAAAATTTTACGATCAAGTTCAGCGATTTCGTTTTTCTTCTCATCGAGAGTTTTCTTTTTCTGATCTAAACCTTGCTGCATCATCTTTTGACTGACTAAATTATTCAGTTTTAGCTGTAGTCCATTTAGCTTTGAATGAGAAGCGTTTATTTGTCTATTCAGTTCATTAAGAGCGTCAGTTTTATTTTTTAAAGCAACGTTGACAACTTTCTGCTCTTCTCTTATCTTTTCCAAAGATTTTTCTGGCATTTCTTTCGGTAACTTTCTTTTGATCGAGAAAATTTCATCATTACAAGAATTTATATCTCTCAACAAATCATCTAAACGTAAAAGATCAACAAGAAACAGCGGAGTGATCAATTTTTGCTTCAATTGTGGTTCAGCAACTTGAATTTCATATCCTTCTAAATCCTCCAACAAATTTCTGTAATCTTCGTCGAGTTTCTCCAAATCATCATTCAGCTTTTTAATTTCATTTTCATCCTGTTCAATGTTCTCATGAATCGATTTAACTTCATTTAACTCATCAAACTTTTTCGATTCAGATTTTAGTTTTCTTTCAGTGTCTGCAATGCGACTTGGAAGTTGACGAATTTTCTCGCTGATTTCATCTTTCAAGTCGACACTTTCACGTTGGTCTAGATCTTTGTGACAAAGTGGACAGCAAGGATCTTGCTCGATGTCACTAATGTAGTGTTTGAATGTATTTTCCGAAGATTTTAAATAAGCCAAATCCATACTTAGCTTTTCTTTCTTTTCCTTTTGTTTGGCAAACACATCTGAGAAGTTCAAACCGTCACATAATTTATTAATTCGCTTCTTCATTGCTTTCAATTTTTCTTCCTTTTCTTCAATGACATTTTGTAAATGATCACGCTTTGACTTCTTTAAAGATATCTTCTTATTAGCTTCATCAATTTCAACAACGATTTGTTTCAGTTCTTTATCAATTTTGTCGTTAAAAATCTGAACTTTCTTCTTGAAATCTTTTTCGATACTCTCTGTTGGAAAAAGCTTTTTCAAAGTTGAAACATTTTTGTTTTTAATTCGATTAAAATCTTCTTGGAATTTGAGTAATTCACGTTTTTTATTTTCCAAATCATTGACAGCTTTCGATATTGGTTCAAGTATTTCAATATGACTTTCAAACTCAGAGATTTTCTCATCAAATTCCATCTTTTCAACTGTCAGTAAATCTCGTTCATCTTCCAAATTTTCAATTTTATTTTCATTCTCAAATACTCCAAGTTCGACTTCTGTTGATTTTATTTGTTGAATCATTTCATCAAGTCCAGGCAGTGAAGATTCAATAGAAGTTATTTCGCGTTTCATATCGTTGTAATCTTTTGTAATTTTGAGTTTCCTTTGTTTTTGAGTTGCAATATTTGTCTCGATGGCAACTTTATCCTCACGAACTTTATCGATTTTCTTTTGATATTCGTTTTCTTTGTCATCCTGTTGAGTGCTTAGAACTTTAATCTCTTCTCCTTTATTAGCGATGCCTTGTCGAATCTGTTCCAACAACGAACTCAAGATATTTTCATCCTCTGACAGAGTTCGATCATCGCTGTCAGAAAAAGAAATTCCAAGTTTACTTGAAAGTTCTTTTGTGGCATCGAAACGTTGATCAATAAGTGATTGTTTCTTACTTATTTCATCAGCTAAATTATCAGAAGTTGAACTAATTTTTGTGAACAATTCTTGTTTCTTTCTGTCTCCATTCACCAAACGATTCTTCTCGTTGTTAAGTGATTCGAGTCGTTGTTCATTGTCATCTAAAGTCTTTGAGTAATTCTCCAATTGAATCTCCAATTCCTCAATGTTGCCATTCATAGGATTTTTTATAAGTTTTTGATACTTTGCGATATCAGATTTTTTAGATGCAATTCTAAGGAAAAAATTAATTTGATTATCTTTGTTGGTAAATTACTAAATTTTACTTACTGGCATTTGAAAACAGTTTGCTTGCCACTTAATTTTCCAATTTGTTTATGTTTCATCAAAAGTTTTTCGATTTCCCCTTCTAATGGCTCTATTTGTGCTTTTAGTTTATCAGCTTCTGCTTCAGTTTCCCGATGTTTATGATTGAGGATATCAAGTTCTAACAATTTACGATCTGCATCTTTCTTGATACCCTCTAAATGTCTTTTTTCAATCGCGCATGTTTTGAATTTTTCATCGTATTCTTTTTTATATTTCATGAGTTTATCGATGGCTTTGTTGTATTCAGTTGTTCCAAAAATGGCATCAAATTTCTCCTTCAATTTCTTACCCTCATCCAATGGCCAACATGAATCTTCTTGATGGCAAAATATTACGTTATTTAAAATTGCTTTTGAAACTCCCATAAAGGCACACATTTCTTCATTAGTTTCATGGACTCTTTTTCTTGATTCTTCAGGTTTTCCAGACAAAATATTTGTTGTGCTGATGGTGCAATCGAGTGTCTCAAATTTGGGCTTGCCATTTTTTTGAATATCCATTTTCATTGATCTTGTGCACAGCTTTGTATTTCCCATTGCATCTGTCACCTTTGAATGAATTATCGTCTTTAATTATTCTTATAACAGTATTATATCTGAACATACCACAAGTTTAATTCGTCCTAAAGATGACGGAGTTGAAAACACTTTCGGATCGTGTACAAAAGTTTTGCCTTTGTCCGAACCAGTTGGTGCTTCACCAGTTATTCCATATTTAAGGCATTCAATTATTGTAGTCTTACCACAACCATTTTCTCCAACAATTAACGTTAATGGAGAGGTAAAATTTATTTTCTATTATAAAAGAAAAGTTGCGCAAATTTCATAACTTAAGCCATAAATCAAAAATTATTTTTACCTGTTCATCCTCTTTTTCAATTCCAAAGGAACGAATGCCACAGATAGATAATCGATTAATCGTTGACATTTTAAAGAAATGAATTAATTTTTAGTTTTATTTTAGGAAATTTTAATGAAACATCAGCGAATTTGTTTTGTTTATCTTTTTAGCGCCAGAAATGGAAGCCTCTTTAACTTCATTATTTCAAACCTCTTTAAATTCAAACCGTGCACACTGTTTGATAGATTGTGCAACTACAGCCTCAAATATTGAAATTTATTTTTTCTCATCACATTGTTAATAAAGGCAAAACAATGAGTGACGATTATCTGAATAAGCCTATGTCATTAGATGGAACCTTCAGCGCACCAGGTAAACAATGAAGATGCTAAACTTTTGACTAAGAAAAGAGAAATAATGATTTTTTAATTTTGAAATTTCAGCACCTCCAAGAGGAGCACCCGCACTTTCATCTCCTTATCTCAATTATGACCCCAGATATTTTCAAAAGGCTCAACCTGAATTTATATTTCCTGAGGGTGCATCAAAACAAAGAGGAAGATTTGAATTAGCTTTTTCGCAAATTGGTTCTTCGGTTATGATTGGAGCAGGTATTGGAGGTATGGCCGGTTTTTATAATGGTGTAAAGGCAACAAATCTAGCGAAACAGAGTGGAAAGCTTAGAAGAACACAACTCTTAAATCATGTAATGAAGCAAGGATCTGCAACTGCAAATACCTTAGGAACTATCGCAGTACTTTATTCAGCCTTTGGTGTATTACTTTCGTGGGGAAGAGGTGAAGACGATGAAATTAATACCATTGCTGCTGGAGGTGCCACAGGACTTTTGTATAAATCAACAGCTGGCTTAAAAAAATGTTTTATTGGTGGTGGAGTTGGACTGGCACTAAGCTCCTTGTGGGTTCTTTATAACGTTGCTGGATCAAAAAAAATTAATGAATTTAGACAGTACGTATAAACAAATTAAAGAAAAAGAAAATTAATGTTTCCATAAGTAGCTGTAGACATAAAATAAAGGCATAAAATATACATTTAAATTAATCATTGCATTTTTGAAGGAAAAACTTGTGTTAAATATTTTGCGTTGTGATATGACACTTTTGCAAAACGTTTTGAGTTAATAAATTGAAGAATATTTCCTTGCAAACCTTTCAACCTCTCTAAGTCATCTCAAAACATCTGTGAAGAGAATCTGAAAACTTTGTTTTATATTTTAAAGAAAACTTGGATATTTTCAATTTTATAGCAAAAATAATAAAATCTCTCGTTAGTGAACAATTTGTCATTAAATAATATCGTAAAATATGGATATGGAATTGAAAAAAGTAAGGTTATTGGCGTTTTAAAGTGTAGGAGTAAAATTTTGAATCATTTTATTACATTTTAGGCATTCACTGAAATGCAGGTGAACAAAATAGAGACAACAAAAAAGATTAGAATCCTCGATGTCCAAATTGACACCCTCAAGAAACAAAAGCAACGATTTGAGCTGACATCCAAGGAAGTTGACAATTTACAAGGAAATGCAAAAGTTTATGCAGCTGTTGGGCGAATGTTTGTAACAAGCACTACAGATGAAATTAAAACCGATTTGAAGCAAAAACAGGAGAAAGTGGAAAAAGTAGTTGAATCTTGTGACAAAAGCAAAACTGTTTTAATTCAAAACCTGCAAGATCAAGAAAAATCTTTAAGAGAATTAGTTGATACCAAGAAAAAGGAGTCGAAATAATTTCTCTGTACATGCATTTCATGAATAAAAATTTTCATTTATTTAAAGCATTCATAAACTTTTTGTTTATTATATTACTATAATTCAGATTACCTAATTCAGTGTTAAACCGTTCTTAGGTCCCCCGGTTAATAGGAATTAAGACGGGGTATACAAGACATACGTATGTGTACCCTTTATTTATATTTTTCGCCCCTTGACTTTAAAGCCTTGTCAGCCTATTGAGGTGATATTTCTTTATTAAAGTAATATCGAGCCAATTAAAAATAATTGAAAACCTTTAAAATAACATTTATCTATGTAAGTTATAAAATCAGTATTGATACAATAGTTAAAAGTGCTTCATCATCGAAAATTGTGAAATTTAAAAAAAGGCCACATAAAACAAGTTTTCTTGTGAAACTCAGATCGTCACTTTATTTTTCTTTTCTCATGTATATGATTAGTAATCTCAAGGCCTAAAAGTTTTAACAGTAGCCATTTATTGAGGTTGATGGTTTTTTGAAGTTTCTTGTAGTCAGAATTATAATATTTTCATAAGCTATTGGAATTATCAAAATTATGTATTGTGTGAACTGATAAGATCCCGTTAATCATTTTCCCCATACCTATAGATAAAAAAATTAAACCATGAGTGACACAAACGGAACAGACAATGATAATCAACCTCGTGGATTTGAGGCAGTAAAGAATCATATGTTGGAGAATAAGATTGAAACCGCACTGTGGGTTTCTCGCTGCTTGTCCATCATATTTGCTATCGGCTATTTGCTTCCCATTTTTGGGTGAGTTTAATTTATTTTTCTATTTATTTTTTGTAATATTGATTAACCCTCATCAAATATGCATGAACCAGATAATAAGATGATAAAAAACTGACATTTTGTTGATTTTTAGATCTTCACAGAGTGCATTCTACAAGGTTTTAATTTCAAATGCCGCAACATCAGCATTACGACTACACCAGAGACTACCACGGATCCAATTTACTAAAGAGTTTTTGGCTCTGTTGCTTATCGAAGACAGTTGTCATTATCTCTTTTTCTCTTTAATATTCCTCTATGTGCAACCATTCATCTTGATCCTGTTTCCAGTCGTTCTCTTCGCAGTCCTTCATTCTGCAAGTTATTCGTTAAAAATTTTAGATGTAAGTACCTGCATTAATTGATTAATTAAATTATAACCATAACATGATTTCGTAAATTTGAAGATAATTACTATTGTTTACCGTAGCAAAGCATTAAATTTATTTTCTCTTTTTACAGATGTTAGGCCAGAACAGTTGGTGGGGAGCTCGTCTTATGATCAGCTTAGTGGAATTCCAACAAAGAAATATTTTGCGGCTGATCGCGTTTTCAGAAATTTTCCTTATGCCTATTGCTGTTGTTTCAGTTTTCATGTAAGTTTTTGTTCATTTTTCTTTAGTGCATAAAATTTACAAGATTAATATCGAAAATTATTTTAATTACATCAATAGGGGACGTGCTGGACTTATGACACCTTTTATTTATTATCATTTCTTGACTCTTCGGTACACATCAAGGCGTAATCCTCACACAAGAAACATGTTCCATGAATTGAAATTAGCCACAGAGGTGATAGCAAACAATCCAAAAGCACCTCCAATTGTTGGAAAAGTTTTGCATGGCGCTATTCGTTTGGTTACTCGATTGGCACCACCAACTCCCGTGCAGCAAGCGCAATAATTTTCTTTTTCGTATTTTTTTTTAAATAATCAAACACTTTACTCGCTTGAACGTTATTTGGTGAAAAGTTTTTGATTAATATTGAATATTCAGCGGTATTTTCTTTGGTCATTCACATCCTTCAGTTAAAATTATTTTGTTCTTGAAAAGAAATCAATTTCTTCAATGTTGAGTGTTGAAACAATTGTAATTATTGTGAACTTTTCTTACAGAAGAAAGAAACGTCAGAAATTACATAAAGAGTACCTATTTATCATTAATAAAGTCATTTAATGTGTAGTGACAATGTTTCTATTTTGCACACTCATCTTGTGCAATCTTTTACAAAGACAGAACAAAGAATAAGAGATGAACAATGGAAATGTCGAATTTTTTGAACTTTCTGAATCAGAAATTCTGATTGAAAAACGAAACAGTTTCTATTAAAATTCCTTCTTAATTTTGTTTCAAAATTTATTATTGAATACACTTATTCATCCCGTGAATGGTCAATGTTAGGTTTTCTATCTTTCATTCAACTCGTTTAAAGAACAATAAATAAAAGAACAATTGAATTTATCTAATTGCTTTCAAACATAATGAACGATAATTTTCAGGTGAAACTCGAAATGAAACGTAACGTGTGACGTCAAACATTTAACATGGCAATTCGCTCATTAATATTTATTAGTTTAATGATGATATAAGATCTAAGATATTTGAAGTCTCAACCACACTTTCAAAGCTGTTTTATTCATTTTTAGATTCACCTCAATTTTTATCTCATATCATAAAACTCGATAAAAAATTCGTAAATATTTATCTGGAATGATAGATTCACTTAAATATAGTCAGAAATCTTTTATTTATTGCTGTGTGGTTTTGAAAACATTGGAAAATGCTCATTAACATAAAACATGATGTTTTAGTGACTCAAAATGCACACAAACATTAAATTAAAAAATTATTTAAATATTTTTCAGATTTTGTTTCAGAAAAAAATGCTCAGAAATTTTTACTCACTAATTACATTTACGTTACAAAGCTTCAAATACTACAAATTTTGATCTAAGAAAATT